GTAATTAGTATTTTTTTTAAAATAGATTTGTTTTTATTTAAAGGAATTTGCCTCTGCAAATTCCACAAACTTTCACACCTTTTCTCTTGTGCCATGTCTCTCAGGTTCAGGTCCTATATGGGTTTCGAATTTAGTGGTACCCATTTGCATCGGGTTTTAAATTTGCGGGTCTGGGTCGGATTCATGCCTGTGCAAACCTCTACTTTGGCAATCTTAAAGAGCCCATATCCTACACTTATAACATTTTGCATTATTTCATGTGCCAAAAACAGTCATAACTCATTTACACCTGACCATTTTCCAGCCTCTCTTTATTTCTTAAATTAAACATGCTGTTTTTGTTACTTTGCCTTAAAGCATATATATATATATATATATATATATATATATATATATATATATATATATATATATATATATGAGCTCTGTTCTGACTCACTGTCCTGTATTATTCCTCATTCAGAAAGCAGTCTGTGCTGAACCACTCTTCATAACTTCAGTATAAATGAGCAGGGCTAAACTGCTGCTGGTTGAGTACTTTGAAATATGTAAATGCACTGTTTTTGATCTGTGTTTGCAGCTTCCTTTCTATATGTGGACTGTATTGCCTGGGCGGAGGGTGAAACTCTATCAACACTTATATTCTACTCTCCAGTGTCAAAAACATGAGAAAAATGAGTTACTCCATGATTTAAGCTCTTTACTTCATATATTGAAGCTGTTTGTTATAAAACTGTAACTTCCACACCATTAACTTTAACTAACTTCTGTGCAGATTAGGCCTACAATTAGAAGTTAACTGCTGCGCTGATATGGAATATAATTAGAGTTATGACTCAGGGCCTTTAGCACAAGCCTCCAGAAAACGTCAATAATAACACTGCACATATTTGCCTTCAATCATCTGATATTTAAAGCTGAATCACTTTAGTGAGCTGTGAGTAGGCAGCTCAGCTGTAGGCAAAGCATGAATCATGCCTTAATTATGCATTTGTGACATAATTTGTCGATAAGCTCCACACAGTGAGGACACAGCAGATCCCCTGTAGCCCCCCACCCTCTACCCCGCCCCCAGCAGCCTCCCGGCAAAGACCGCAGGGTACCATCAGGATAATCCTTAATAAAGAACAGCTTCACTTTTAATCTCACTCCACTTCTCATATTTCTTGCTTGATATAGTTCTTGGCGAGTAGCGTTTTAGCGCTGATGTCAGTCGAACAGCATCAATGCATCTTTGTTGAAGCCCAGCATGGACACATAATGAGCACATTGCAAAGTTGATTGTCTAAATCTCAGATGCACCAGTTTCCAAAGCTTCTTTAAGCTGAGATAAATAGCTAAATAAATAAAAACATGCACTTCTCCAAACCAAGTCAAATGTAGTAAAAGGATGGAAATATATATTTAAATGCATGTATATTTTACTCAGGTATGTTTTGGTTGATGTTCTAGGTTCTAGGCTAAATTTCTAGGCTAAAGTTCCTACTGTAGCATATTACATGTTATAACAGATAACGTTTCATTACTGTAGTACAGTTTTTATGCTGTTATTGCTTGTTTTGTTTACAATTTAGAAGTTATAGCCGAATACGTATAAATAAATTGTTATTAACATATTATTATTGTATTATTAATGTATTATTACAAAATTATTACTTATACACTGTTGATTTTTCTTTAAACATGGATGTAATTTGCCATTTCTATGCCATTCATACTCATACCTATGTAGTTATCAAACTCAAATATTTCTAACTTCCTCTAACTGTGGTGTGAATTAGATTCCTCTCGTTAGCTCTCTAGTTAAGAAAGAGAATATGAGCGTGTTTGCTTGGGAGACATAAACAAACTCCTGGTAATTATGCCGTGCAATTTGAAAATAACTCACTTGCGAAATTACATTGAAAGTTAATTTCATACAGCTGCTGAAGGAGAGCGGGGCGAGCGGCGTAACTCGATTGGCCGGTTTTACCCCACAGCTATCGCGCATAGTTACTTGAGAGTCCCCCAGCATTTATTAGCCTATTGAGTTATCAAGAACCTCTTTAAACTGCAATATATTTAATTTTCTGAGGCTGAAATGTGAAACGGTTGGTTTACCTGTAGGCACAGGCTTTACCCACAGAGACTGCATGCGCATCGTGACCACATCAGCAGCACAACACAGATTAGCAGCAGTGCAGAGCAGCGTATTTATACAGGGAGTGGAGGGGGAGGGGATCACAGAGCTTCAGAACTGTTCTTCATATACTGCATCCTCTGTACCGTAAATATTGATATTTTGCTTCTTTATAAATCAGATTCTGACCAGCAGATGTAAATGTGATCCTGCACTATTAAATATAAAGGACTGTCCTGAGTGATGCCATGGAGAACTCTTTCAATGGACGGTTCTCTAGCAAAACGTGCTTGTAAATGAGATGAGTGTGAAGAAACTTTTTAAATAGCCTTCTAGAAAGAGCTCTTCAATTGATATACATCAACGTGCCTAAAGTGCAATGTTCATGAGTTCTTTGTGCAGTGCCATAGAAGAACCAATTTTGGTTCCCTGAAGAGTGGATTGTTCTTTAGCACACTGTGCATGTAAATGAGATTTTGGGAGTCTTTCTAGAACCCCTAAAATAGTATACAGAAGCAGTGCCCAAACTTTTTGTCAAACTTTTTGCCATAGCAAGACCTTTTATGGTTCCCTCTAAGGAAACTCTTAATGATCCTTGGATGCAAAGGAGACGGGTGAATGTGAAGAACCTTTAAAGTTTACAGAACCTCTTCACAACAATATATTTTCTAGAAAGAACTGTTGAATTGGTAAAGAACCCTTACATTACATGTAGTTTCTTTAAAACTTTGAAAGGTTCTTCACATGCATAAATTTTTTATCAAGCATGGTTTCTTTAGGGAATAAAAAGTCATTTTTCTATGACATCGCTCAAAGAACACTTTGTGGCATATCTTTTTTTTAACCCCTTAAAATCCCAGGCTTATTACTCGCTAAGGTTTATTATTCAGTAACTACAGAGACTCCAATGCAAACTGAGCTATTCTTAGCTTATAGAAGTGTGTAATAAAACTTTGGGTCTGCTGGTGGGCCCTGGCCATTTAAGGGGTTAATAGTATAGGTAGGCTTAAAATTGAGTTTTAAAAATAGATTATATAATATTGTTAAAAAATTTAAAATGTTGTTAAAGCATTTTTATGAATAAAATACTTTAAAAATACCTTATGGGGTGACTTCACCTTGGGCAGCCCTCATATTATAGTCTTTACATTATGTGACCACATGAACCCAATAAGTGCAGTGCCAGCCCCATGTTTAAATCTGTTAGCAGCTACTGTGTTTCCTATCACTGCATAAAAGATGCACAAGAATTATTGTTGGATGCACTGTGACTTTTTCAGAGTTATTTCAGAGGTTGAGTAACAGTGAAGATGACTGATGTGTGACATGTTCACTATTCTTGTTTTTACTTGTTCTAAAAGTTTATTTGTCACTCAAACTTAGTAGAAATCCTGGAATTTCCAGCTTTGTTAGACTGCATTCTGTACAGCAATATAAATGCAGCAACTGGATTCAGAAATCACATTATTAATTGAAAAGAAACACATGAAATGATCAAAAAACCTTGTATCTCTGGTTTTGTCATTATTGTTATTATTATTAATTGAAAGTTCTAACTGTCCTTTATACTAAGTCACACTTAGAATAAAATCTTGTTACATTAACTTATGTACATTTTTTCCTTCTCCTTTAAACATTTTGGTAATCGTTCCATACGTGCTAATGCTATTTTATAGTTAGCATATTGTAGCTTAAAAGCTAAAAATGCTCTAAAGTTTAATGCTGTCCGTTTAGATCTACATTGTTTAATTCTCATTCTTTCAGTGTTTTTCTTTTTTCCTTTATTGTAGACCTTTGTGCCCTTTTTGGATGATCTCTTTCCTTCTTAATTGTCTGCAGTGACAACATACTTAAAAATAAAGTTTCCTAAAAGGTTCCTGCTTGGATGTAAAGTCCTAGGAAAAGCCTTTAATGTGGAACTTTTTGTGGAGGATCTTTAAACCTTAGCTCATTTATCAAAACAATTCTTTAAAGAACCATCCATTGAAGGGTGCCATCCACCCCGGATCTTTGTTCTCTAGCATCTAAAGAACCTTTTGCCAATAATTATAGAGTGCTGATAGTTTATGGCTGATAAATTATTACATTTTAAAACCTTAATGGTATTTTTTGATTTGCATGCAAAACAAAGATAACATAGCAAATTTAGTCATGTTGTGAGATGAGAGAGAAATAAAAGATAAATATCTTAAACAATAACATTGTAATAACCCAGTTTACCTTTAAACAAACTGCAGTGACTGTTTGCTGATGCTGCCGCTGATTAGATAAACCAGCCAGTCCCAATAAAACAACAATAAAAGAAAAAATAATGAATTACGCTCTATATTACACTGATATTTACCTACACAAGTCAAACAAACTGATAAAAAGGACAGTGGGTCCGCGGTAGAAAGAAAAAAACGAAAATAAAAAGAACAGAAGACGAAGAGAAGCCTCACCCAGAGGCCATGAGTGCACGAGTGGATCAGTGATAGAATCTGGAGAACACTCTAGTCCTTAAACCTGTGAGTGAGTGAGTGAGTGACATATGGAGAGTGAAGGAGAGGGAGAGGAACACAAAACAACTCCCTCAGTGCCTCCTCTGGTCTAAAGAGAAAGAGAGGGAGAGAGATAGAGAGCAAAGGGAGAGAGAGCAAAAAGAGAGAGGCAGGAAAAGGAAAAATAAAGAGGAAGAAAGAGAGGAAAGAAACTATAGTGTGAGAGAGAGGGAGGAAAAAAGAACTATAAAGAAGAGAGAGGAAGAGGGAGAGAAGAAAGAAAGAAAAGAGAGAGAGAGAGATAAAGACAAGAAAGAGAAAGAGGGAGAGAGAAACAGAAATAGAGCAAGAGGAGAAAGACTGAGTGAGAGAAAGAGTAGACAGGAAACGAAACAGGAAAAGTGAGAGAGAATGGAAAAAAGAGGGGGACAAAAAGAGGAGAAAGAGGAAAAGACAGATAAAGAAGAGTGAGTGAAAGAGACAGAAGAGAGAGAAACTTTCTGTCTTTTCAAAACTCCAACTTCCCTCCCACTCCCTCTCCCTCTACCAGCTCTCTCTCTCTCTCTCTCTCTCTCTCTCTCTCTCTCTCAGACTCTCTCTGCTCTCTGCCCTGCAGCAGTAAAGAGGACGGCTCTCCTTCACTCACCCACTCTGGGAGTCGGTCTCTAGAGATCCAGTGAGCGAGCGACCGGAGCCCCGGCAAGTGGACCCCATGGCTTTTTCACACTTAAAATGAAAAAGAAAAAGACTCTCTGCCTGCGTGTGTGATCTGCGTGTTTTGAGTCCGAAGCGAAGAGTTTTCTGTGGAACACACTCCCGCGCTCCGTTTGGCTCAGGAAGTCACGGCCGCTCCGAAAAAAACGGCAGGAAAAGACGGATAAAAACGCGTTCGGATTCAACCAGAAGTGCAGTGAGTACCGCTCCAGTTCTGCATCAGCTCTTCTTCAGTTTCTGTATGGGCCACATGGGCTTCCTTCTTTTAAACCAACTTCTGTTATATATTTCAGTCTAGTGGCAAACCACCAAGATTACGAGTTTTGATGAAAGCAAAACATTTATTGAGGCATCGTTACACATTTATAACCTAATAATAACTACAGGGTTTAGATTTTCTTAATTTTTGCTAAATGTTTCCAAAGTAAACCAAAAAAAACAACATGCTTTTTAAATTTACAGATCATCTGCCTCACAGAGAAGTGTAGGACATGATTAGACTTTTATTTACTTATTTTATCAACTTTATAATTACAGAGTATTAAAATTACACCAGTTGGTGCTGATATAGTTATTAGAAATCACTATGTGAAGTATTGCAATAACATATTCAAAATATTTTATGCTAAGCATTATACAGTGAGGACAAAATACAAAGCTGAACAATGTACAATATATAAATATGCAAACTGTATTAATAAAATGAACACAAATTGCAAAAATAATAAAAATGAATAGGAAATATATAAATACTGTAAGTGCTGTGGGCCACTTAGTAAACTATCAGAAATATGAAATTTAGTTGAACCGTTAGGTTGCATAATGTTTTGTGCATGAGTATATATTATATTATATTATATTATCCATTTAAATTAACTAATGCTGTAATGTGAGTCAAGTAACACTTTATTTTGCTTCTCACATATAAACCCCTAATAAGATTTACCTTTACACTTTTAACCGCGTCCACCTTTACCTGCTATACCTTTATACAGGCCTTAATACTTTACTACAGGTGTACAGGTGTAAATTAACAATAGCACTGAAAATAGCAGCTCCTTTAACTGTTCCTGCTTTTCAGTAAGTTTAAATTTTCAGTGCAAACACACTTCAAAAATAATGGTGCTGAAAAAGTTGAAGCGACCATGGAATCTCTTTTGGGTTCCCTAAAGAACCCAAAAGTGTCCATATCCAGTTCTTTACAGAGCTATTTTTGTAAATGAGAGATTACAAAATGTCAAAAAATAAGTTTTGTTTTTTTTACGTTTTTTACATAATGCAAAGATCCTAAAGCAAAGCTTAGAAACGCTGAGGAATCTTCATCTTGTTTTAAGAGTGAAGTTGAGGAGAAAAGTTTCTCCAGTAAACAAAACCGGCTCAGTTCGAGTTCTAGCAGTTTGACGTTCAGTGCCATCTGCTGCAGCAGGAATGTACGGAGAGGAGGAACGGCTTCAGCCAACTGCTAACGGTGCTAACATTGTGCTTATCTGTCCCTCTAGAACACTTTATTCCTACACTTCACTTAAAAAACACAAATTGTTGTGTAAACGTTTAATGCAACTCAATTAATGCCACACATTTCTATTTAATCACATAGAGCCAGCATGCAAATGTCCTGATAAAGTGAAATGACCAATAAAGTTGCAGTATAGCTGAAACAGCCTCCTTTAGTCATTGACGTACTATAGCAGTACTGTAGTTCTAATCAGACTTCATTGTAATTAGATTCAATAAGCATAAGACCAGATACTGGACTTGAATTAGCATTTAACCCTTTGGATCCTTGATTTACTGTGGTTTAAATATGATAACAAAGATTACATATGAATAAAAAATATATGATAAAGTTTATTAGTTGGGTGTACTGGTGTAAAATTAACCAGGTCATTTCAAGCTAACTTAAGTAAGCTGCTCATTCTAAAGTGAAGTATTTCAGGATAAAATATGAATATTTCTGTCATATTAGCTCACATTTGCTGTTTACTTAGATTTGTTTGTTTGTTTTTCATTCATTGTACTTCAAAAGTAATATAGTAAGTATATTATTAGCATTTATTGTCTAAAAATATTTTCATAATTATGATAAAATGTCATTGAGTGAGAAACTAAAGTGCATAAGTTTTATTAAGATCATATTTTTGAATTCATTTCAAACTGAAACACATTTATGTTTAAAAATAAGGTGTCTGACGTGGGAGCCGATGATGAATTCTATTCCTCCGTTCTCTTCACGCAGGCCTGTGTATCGAATTATTTGCTAAAGAGCTGCCTGATTTGGCTTGTTGAGCGGCTGTATTTGCTTTAATAAGGTGAATGTTTGAGCGAGCCGAGCTGGTTGATAAGCTGTCATGGTCAGCGGTGCTGTTTGCTGAAGGCCCAGCGTCCTGCGTCCATCCGAGTGCCGCAAATGGTGCATGGTGAAAGACGTAGAGGGTTAATTGATCCTGTTTGTGAGACGCAGTGAGAGGAACAGAGCTGAAGAGCTGAAGGGCTGCCGAGTCATTAGCCGCTCAGGGCTGTTTGGTAAATACAGCAGGGTGCCATTATATTAACACCGCTCGGACTGTCTCGGGGAAAAAAAAAGGTTGCCACGGGAACAGGAAGTGTCTCCTGCTAGTGTTTGTTGAGGCACTTTGTTTACGTAAACAGAGGCGCAAAATTGTGAATTGACTGGGAATTGCAGGCTAATTCAGTTCAGTTCAGATGTGTAATTGGCTTTAAAAGGAGCTGAATGTACAGTGTGCACTGTTACAATATCGCTGCTACATTTAAAACTGGAGAGGTAAATTGCAAATGAATTGAGAATAATTGTCTTTTTAGCTTCTTTTGAAGTTCACACTAATCGTTGAAGCAAATAAAGGCAACTGGGAATTGAAATCTATTTGCTTGCACTTTATTCAGATTTTAAATTCAGTCTGAGCTTAAAAATAGAAACAGTTTGCATTCAACATCTTTATATTTTTGCAATGTTTCATCTTTTTTTTGGAAAGCAAATCACACTTTAGCATTTATTAATCTTATTATTACTATTATTGTTATTATTATGTTTAATTTGCACTGCGGTAGGGCTTGGAATCTCACTGGAGGTCCGTTCAAAATGAAGCGGCCTTCTGGAAATCATTTCAGAGCCTGAAGAGGTTCAGCATTAACAGATTCTCGTGTAGCTTTTCACTGCTGCATGTCAGAGCGAATAAAACGCAGAGAGACAAATTGCATGTCAACAAAATGAGCCACATCTGCCAGGAATTAACGTTTTAATTACATATTAGGCTTTAATCTGCATTAGAAACAATGGAAAGTGCCCTGCTGCGCCCTTAATGTTCCGACCCTCCGGAACAGTGCCCGTTCTGGTGCGCTCCGGTGAGGATTTTTATTGGGTTGCTTCTATTTAGGCTTGACTTTGAGTCTGATCTATTATCCTGAATGAAGATTTTGTTATATTGAGAAATTCTGATCAGGTTTTACATTGTAACTTCACATTTAATTTGCTTTCAGCACAAAAAAGGACAAGCTGATTTAGTCCTGTCTGATCACTCAAAGCACCTTTTAATTGTTTTTTTTTTTTAAACCTGAGATGTTCATATTCTCCTAAGTTTCCTGAACGACTCAACCGGCCGCCTCTCTTTAGCGTCCGAGCACTCAGAGACAAGTGCAGCGTAGCGTTTTTGTAAACTGTGTCTAATTCCACTCACATCTGTGTCCAATTGTTGTCTACATCGACATTCTCCGCGAGTAGATTTATTTTTCCTGGGCCACCATGTGGATTCAGCTGACCAGCTTAAGTGGGGATTAGTTATTTTAAAGTTATTTTGATTAAAGCATTGTTTTTGCAAACTACACATGGTTTTCGTGAGCTATAAAATTGGAAAGGAATATGCACCCTATGGCCTATAAAATAAAACTGGAGGCTGGTAAACTGGGAGAATTCTGGAGGAACTGGTGCATTTTTGCAGTTATTGATGCGTTAATCTGATGTTTTTTTTTTAATTCAGTGCAGTTTTGCAATTGTTTAAGGTTGAGATGTAAAATTGAAAGGAATATGCAGTCCATGGACCAGAAAATATACATAAAGTGGGAGATTTCTGTCATATTTCTTTATTTATTGTTGTTTTTATTCACCATTTTTTCACTTAAGTCCAATTTGTTTCAATTGTTGTTTTGATTTGTCCCTTTTTTATTTAAATTCAGTCCAATTTCTGAGTTATGTAAGTTTAAAAATAATATATATATATAGCTATAAAACTGCCATCATTTTTCACTTACATGCAATTTTGCATTTGTTCGATGTTAAAGTTATTAAAACAGTTAAGAATGTGGTGTAAAATTGATATTGATATTGATACGCACTTTATCGCTTACAAAATAAAACCAAGTGTGGATAAGATTTCAGGATAAACTGTTACATTTCTTTAGTTATTGTTTGAATTTGCCATTTTTTCATTGAAATGCAATTTTTGCAAATTGAAATGGTCTGTATGGCCTATAAAGGAAAAGTCCTATAAACTGCAGTTGGACTTAAAAAAAAATCCCTTTAATTTCTTCAGTTATTGCTATTTTTTCAATTAAATGCAAATTTGCATTTGATTAAGGCTGAGTTTATTAAAACTTTGAGAAAATGCAGTAAAATAATAATAAAAAAAAAAAACATGCATCTTTAATATAAACCCAGGGAGGGATAAACAGTACGATTTTGGCATAAATGGTTTCATTTTTCAGTTATTGTTGTTTTAATCTGCATGCTTTTCAAATCAATGCAAATTTGCATATGTTTAGGTTTGAGTTTAGTTAAAAATCACTTTCCATCACTTTCTCTGCTCTTATCCGTGAAGAATCAGTGACACATCTCAATCTCTTCTGTTCTTTTTTTTTATGTTGCTCAGAATGAAAGTGTTTGGCATCAGCATGTGTGTGTGTGTGTGTGTGTGTGTAAACGCAGTTCTGGAAACAAGCAAAGCGAGACAAAAACCCGAGCAAACACTCAAGAGTGACGCGCGCTTGGCTTTTTTGCTGAGACGCTTCTCTTTGTTGTGGAGCTTCAAAGCTGCTCTGTTCAGGTTCAATTCAGACCAACATCAAAGATGCTGAATGCACCTCTTCTTCTTCTTCTCTCCTTTTTTTTAAACAGTAAATATTCAGCCGTGTGGGAGAAGAGCTTGTTTTTGCTGTTTTTTAAGCCCCTCCCCCTCCCTCCCCCCA